ATATCTTCTACACGTTATATTTAAAAATTAGGAAAAAAATTATTAAGAAAGTTTATTTAAGAAAATTTTTATTTCATTTTACATGCGTACACAGTATTTTTATATGTATACATGCGTATATAGTATTTTTATATACATAAAAATATTTCAATTATAATTTATTATCGTTGTAGTATATGACAAAACATCACGCGTAGCTATATATATAATAAAACATTAATAAATCCATAATATTTCTTCGCATTTTTTATCCACAATTATGTATATATATTTAGCACGGACTAACCAGCCGTTTTACCGTGGCATCGAAAAGTAAATCTGGCCATGTAGTTTAGCCGGCTCTAAAATGGATCTAGTTAGCGCTATTGTACGAGCTAGAAAAAGCGTCTTTCGAAAAACGATGACATGGCCCCTCTCAGCCTTCTCTCTGACGATACACTCTCTGTGAACATATAAAGTCCGCGAATGTTCTTAGTGGGTAATGCATAATATGCACAATTTCGGTTGCATTCCGTGCTATGTGCACGGAATGTCGGTAACACAAGTTCTGTAACGCAAGACGCTTTATATGTATATCAAATAAATTTGTAATATAAAGACATTTTATGGTGTTATTACTTTTGAAACTAAAATCACAAAATCCTATCATTTTAACTACGGCTTGTAAAAGTTAAAAATTATTGATGACAATTTTGCCGAAAAAAAATACGTACAAATAAATAACGAGTTATTTTAATACTTCCTCTTCAAATAAATTTAAATAACGAATTACACTTGCAAATTTTAAATGTAGATCCGTGAAATAAAACCGTGATAGTATATATCCGATAATATTAGAAATCCAAAACTAAAAGCGCATGCAATTATATAAAGTACGTAATATTTCCGCTGTTTATTCTAATAGTGATGAATATTAACATAAATTGTAAAATTTTTTGTGTTAATTCTCTATATTATATTACTAATTTTTTGTGTTAATTCTCTAATATTAATAAAGATTTAATCATAATTCGTAAAAGAAGCTATTAATATTTTTTTTAAGAATATTAATGTACTTTTATTATAATTTGTATATATGAGCTTATGTGCATTTTATTGCATATATTACATTGTTAAATTTATGCGTACTTTTAATAAAAATTTTTTTAAGATAGCCGACTACTATATAACAACTATAAATTATAGCTGTAGGTAAATGTTTATCTTTATCAAGCAAACTCAAGAGATAAATATATGTGTTATTTTATTTGTGTACGTATGCAACTCATTCGGTACCGTTATGCACTAAAAATAGAGAATGCTAGAGCAGGCTAAAGCACGCGGAGCGTCTTCCTGCGTCGCCAGGAATCTCGATCGTTGGCGGCATGCTTGTGCACTTCTTTCGCGCCGCTTGTCATAAATCATACACGAGAACATGGGACGTCATAGTAGTAGCTACTTAGTTATTCCGTAAGACAGGAAAATCTCTATTGTAAGGAATGCGTAATAAGTGGGAATGCGAAAGGGAAAAAACACTGACGTGTGCTGCTTCAGAATATTCTTGAACTTCTTGACGCCTTGACTGAAATTCTTTTTCACTAATTCACGGAATTACTTTAATGATTTTTCAGTTAAAAATCAAGAAAAGATGAATTTCTAATAAATCGATGAGTTTAAATTATGTTTCCGCGAAACATTTGAAATCATCTCGTACATTGTGTAAATATTAGTTAAACTAATTAGGAAACGTGTAACGATTAGAAATATAAAATATGTGAGAGGAAAGGAAAATAGTTTATACACGCAAGACTTTTTTATATAATATAATAATCTAATAATAAATTATAAATACATGAATGCATGTTACAACTATAAATACAAAAGGTGAAAAAATGAGGAGGAGTATTCATTTAGGTATATCGCGCGCACGTCTACGTTCAAAATTGTCAAAATTTGTTGTTTCCTTAGACACAAACCGGGCGATTGTCGACAGTTCAGTTTGATACGATCGACAACGCGATCTTATAAATTAAACATATTACATATTACTCTTCGCAATTGGATGCTGTAGGAAAGCATCGGTATTTTCTAAATGGTACTTTCGAATTTGCGTTGTATTAAGGGAGGTCAGGAGGTCTCGTAGAATCGCAATCGTCACGATATTCGATCATCGACATCGACTTTCGGCTGCTGCGCGCATCTCGTCGTCCTCGCGAGATGCCCAGTTGAGGGGACCCGCGAAGCAACGGGTAACGGTACATTACGGACTCATCGGAATTCACAGTACGCTCTCTCTATTCTCGTACATACGTATGTACGACGCAGGTTTTGTTACGAAGTCCGGTTTCTTCCAGGAGTGCGCAAACAGGGCAATGCGCCGTCTATCGCATTTTAGGGGGAGACTCGAGTCGTGATGCAAGCTATAAACAGGAAGTAGTGCGCCCGCTTTTGCCCCCGTGTATCGTCCTGATGATCTTGACCCTCTCTTTCTTTCTCTCTCTATTTCTCTCTCTCTCTCTCTCTCTCTCTCTCTCTCTCTCTCTCTCTCTCTCTCTCTCTCTCTCTCTCTCTCTCTCTCTCTCTCTCTCTCTCTCTCTCTCTCTCTCTCTCTCTCTCTCTCTCTCTCTCTCTCTCTCTCTCTCTCTCTCTCTCTCTCTCTCTCTCTCTCTCTCTCTCTCTCTCTCTCTCTCTCTCTCTCTCTCTCTCTCTCTCTCTCTCTCTCTCTCTCTCTCTCTCTCTCTCTCTCTCTCTCTCTCTCTCTCTCTCTCTCTCTCTCTCTCTCTCTCTCTCTCTCTCTCTCTCTCTCTCTCTCTCTCTCTCTCTCTCTCTCTCTCTCTCTCTCTCTCTCTCTCTCTCTCTCTCTCTCTCTCTCTCTCTCTCTCTCTCTCTCTCTCTCTCTCTCTCTCTCTCTCTCTCTCTCTCTCTCTCTCTCTCTCTCTCTCTCTTTCTCTCTCTCTCTCTCTCTCTCTCTCTCTCTCTCTCTAGGTCAGCAGGCTAAAGTCGATATCGTCTCGGCGGTCGTAATGACACAGTCCCGAAGAACGCTTATCGATGTTGTTGCAGTTGCTACTGCCACGGGAAACACGAGTATTCGATTCGATCAGATTTGTGCGTGTTTTAGCTATAATAATAATTTAATATAGACTTTAATTAGTGACTTTTTTATCGTCGAAAATTACTTAAATTATAGATAAATAACAGAAGATAAATAATAAAGGATTATATATTGATTATATCCTTCGCGTTAAACAAATTTACATATGTAATTTTGATGGAAAGGTATTTAACGTCGATGAGTAATAAATTACGTCATATATTCCGGATTAAATAATCGCAGAGGAAACATCACATGCTTTTCATTAGAATTAAATCTCGCCGCTGTTGCGCTTTTTTTGTGCGACTTATAGTAAGTTGTGTCCGGGTTCCGCCGTCCATCAGATATTCCTCGAACGGCACAAAAAATCGGTCGAACAGGACGATTCTACAACTGTGAGATGCGTCGTAAAGATAAATTACGTAGCGATGATCGCCCGTTCGGATAGCGATTCGCAATCCTCAACCAATTCTGCAAAACGCGTTCATCTTATTGCGATATAATAGCACGCGTGATATAACTTTACGACGACGTAAAGCGCTTAAGCGAGCCGGTGAACGACGCTCCTCCCGTCACCAGACAGATACCCGAGCTCATCTGAAACGCGCTATTTGCACCTGCTCGAAACCGGCTCGGGGAGGCGGCGAGTCTAGTGAACTCGATCGAATTCCGAGACCGGATTCCGCGAAACGCCGCGGTCGTCCACTGTCCCGATTTGCTTTTTCATTTGCCGACGGGATAAGTGCTCCCCGAGGTTTTTGGCACGAGAAAGAGAGAAGGATGACAGCAGGGAGGATGGTGACTCAAACCGTATTTGTACTTCAACTATCCAAAGCAGATAAGAACATTTTGTACTATGAATCGATATTGTTAAATATCGATATATATTATCGTGTTTTCTGTCGAGGTATCGATAAACATTATCACAGTTGAACGGTTCATAATAAGAGTAGAATAATTTTTCATTATTTGTGAGATTTACTTAAATATGAAACTTAAAGAGTAGATCCTGCAAATTATAGATTTGATCTTATTCTTGCTTCGAATTGTTTAATTTCAATGAGCAACGTATATTATTTTCTTCTCTGAAATAAGTTTACTTACACATTTAAATTAAATTTAAATATTGATTTTTCTTCAGAAAATTTCTTTAAAATTATTCCAGAAGGATTTAATTTATAATAAAAAACGCTTAAAGATATCAATAATAATTTTTCTATATTCTATATAGATGTGTGAAATATCTAATATCAAATTTTTATGATGTTATTCGTTGCTTTATTTTGTATTTTTATAGCGCAAGAAATATTTATATAAAAGAGCAAAGTATAAAATGCATGTGATAATTTAAAAAAAAATAGCATGTGTTCGTGTGAAGGATAAATACGGTTTGAGTATTTAACAAGTAGACTGATTCGACTTATTCGTCGATTAATAGCCTAGAAAACTACTCGAAAGTCTTGGAGATATGTTATGTAAATTCATAGAAATTTATCATCGATGAAATCCATCAACTGCGGCAGTCTTCCGTAATTTGCGTCAGACGATGGATTATCTTGTGTCGCACATTATAAATAGTTCGTTTAGCTCTCATAAATTGAAATGCAATGTCATGAATACAACGCAAAGACACTAAGACGAAGAATGGTTAACTCACTAGAAGTATTTCTTTCAAGAAATCTTCATTGTATTTGTTTCGTTCTAAAATTAACTCATTATTAGCCAGGCTTTCCATTTCGTGATTTCGTTTGATTTTAACTATACAAAATATTTGATTTCCAGTTCCAAAGTCATGCATTTTCACAAATCTTTTAGATTGAAAGAATATAATATAATGGAGAAGAACAGCTTGTATTTAGAAAGAAAAAATATTATAACATAAAATTTTCGATAATCAGCTGATAATCGATTAAAGGAAAGGGATCACAAATTTTATAGCTACGAAGCGGTATCCTTTCGTAAAAAAAAGGACACGGATTTATTTCGTTTGGGGCGGAATTCATTTCGTGCATTCATAGATTTATCAGATTTCTCTCAAGAAATAAATCTAGCAAATTAAGAACTGGCTCTTAGTTGCCTGCGAAATTTCAAAGTTGTGAATAAATCTAGCATCGCATCGATGAGATTGCCGAGCTATTCGAGGATCTTGGCGCTCGAAATCGCTCTATACCATTTTGGTAAAACGCGAATTGTTTATAGGGAATCCCCTCGTTTCGGCGGAGAGACAGTCCGACATGCTTGTGACACTTATGACATTTGATGAAGATTAGAAGCTCGGTACTGCCGGTGGCGTGTCGGTGGACGAGCTCGCCGTATTTCTCGGCTTGCACACGCAACCGCTTTCTACTAGCACGTAATCCTGACCGGTCAAGGTCACTGGACCCAGAGGAATCACCAGAAACAGGTACGGTACGTAGGTCTGCGTGCATTCGCCGTGAACCACGTCGCATTCCTTCGATCTGAAACAACAACCGATGAAAGATTCTGTTGGGTTCATTCACCGGACTGGAGGATGTGTTTAGAGTTGTGTTTGCGCGAGCTGTGATTCCGCGGTGCTCGAATACATAAGCATCGCTGACATAACTCTCAGCATATAAGATTTCGAAAATTTCGAGAAATGCTTGTGTCATAAAGGAAAGTTATTGATGTACAATTGCGCGAGATTTGCAGCTGTCGTTTTTATAATTGAACGAGAAAGAGAGATCTTTTTAAATTATCTTTTCATGCCTCTTAATATATCATTATTCTGAAGTTCTTCGAATGTGTATATTTTGATAGACAAACAAAAAGTTTGAATTATTCTGCTAAAAATCGTGAGAGAGATTTCAACTTTAATTGCATTATTGATTCAATATACGTATATATCTTTGCTTACAATTAGCGATGTTTTATACTAGTAGAACTACATTTCAGTTATCTCTCAGAAAGAATTCTGTGTAAAAAAAAAGGTCTCAAAAGTAGGCGTATGTCGATCACGAACACACAGTCGTAAACCAGTTCAGCCTACTGTGCCACATTCGAATTAATTCAGCGAACAGATGGCCCAGGTGAATTTCAATCTAGTCTGATGTCCCGCTGCTTTCTATAAATCCCTGTTTAAAATTTCGTGCAATATATCGCATCGATAAATATTGACCACAAACACGAATCCCATCTACATAAATTAATTGCAGAAATCTATTGTATACTTAGCAAGGCGCCTACATAGGGTGTCTTAAAATCATTGGATATTTTGCAGATGAATTTGCAATCAATTTTTGCTTCGCCAAAATTTTCAGGCAAATCTACGAAAATAACTTTTTGGAGAAAAATGAAAAAATTTGCCGTGTAAAATGAGCTATCTGTTTAGAAATCTAAATATTTGTTTTATGCTAATTTCAAGGCGAAAAACAGGCTTGATGAAAAATTTAATGCAAAAGATTAAGATACTGGCGAATACAAAAATTAATATCAAATTCTCCAAAAGTCTCATTGTCAGTTATATACAATACTCACTCGCAGACTTCGAAGACAACCTGTTGCAGGAGATCAGGGAACTTCTGAACGATCGTTACCGGTTGCCCGCTAGTAAGGCTGATGCCGTACATAGGGGCCGTGGTGTTGTACCTTGTTTTGCAGAGTCTAGCGGGCGAACCGCAACTTTCCTTCGCGGAAACCGCACGGCCTGAAAACCCAGTGACGATTACTTCGATTGCTATATAATTTTTCTGTCTTGTAATGCGCAATTATAATATAACTTACATTATGATACTTGACGCTGCTTTATCATATTTTTTCTATTTGTTATACTTATATACGCAAATATCTACTCGTATACTTAACGTATAACGTTATTGACAAGAACGTTATAATACGGTATATCGCGAGATGGAATCCCGTAATTGTACGGGATTGGATGTGCGGGTCCCTATGGAATTATGACAATTTAAGCAAGATTTTTCCAAGTATATTAAATGCTTCATTATTTGTCAATTTGTTTCCATAACGCGCAAAAAATATTATTGTTCAAGTTTAGATTCGTCATTGTCTTGAGAGCAAAGATAAAATTATAAATAGTAAAATCTTGCTTCTAGATAACATAATATATTCCTTTTTTCTACGAAATTTTTATAGGAGAGATTAATAAAATTTTTTCCGGTATAAAGGCACGTGTATATATTTTTATTTTTTAAATATTGAAATATAAATTTGTAATAGCTGATCATGTGGCAATACTATATTAATTTCTTTTGCTCAAACTCGGCACAACTACCAAAAAATAATTAATTTTTCCGATTAAATTACTGTTGGTTAACAATTGGCGTTGGATCGAGATTCGCTCTCGGACTCAGCGGTCAGGGATATATCCCGAGGAACACACATATATATACATGCTCGAAACGACGAGTGGGTCGTCGGCGGATCCCGTTATGAACACAACGATAACTGTATTGGCCGGATAACACGGTGCCTTATTATCCGGTCAGTGCGCCACCGACTCCGGCTTGATTATCGAGAGGATCGAGAACCTGGATGCCGCGATCGGAAAACTCATCGCGGCGGATCATCTCTCCGGTCGCGCGAATTTCGCAGAAACCCCGACGACGACCAGTCAGGGAATACGAAGCGATTGGAAGCGGGTTTTCGTGTCATAAGGACAGCTGCATAACTCAAGGCTGCAGGGCACCACGAGCAAGCCGCGATCGTAAATGGCCGTGCATGCCGGTGGTATCTACCTACTTCGCGACTGGCCGTTCTAATTTTCGTGAAGACCTCAAACGCCAAGCATCGCGAATTTTTGCGAAGCCTGCGTGGGAATAGTGTCGTTTTACGCAAATATTGTAGCAAATATACGCGCGCACCTTCCGGATAATTTGCATTGCCGGCGATTCCGTATCTGATTGAATAAGGTTCGCGATAGATTCTGGAATCTCAAGATCTGATGTCAATTGAAAGTTTATCTGTCTTGATTTGCATACAATGTTTTCGATAAGATTGTAAAAAATGTAATATTTACTTATCTAAGTTCCATATCTGTTTACACATTTAGATAGTTATTTAAGTACTATTACTATCTCAATTTCATTCTTGAATGTAATCTATAGATTGCATTTATTAGACTCAATTTTATTAAGAAATTTGATAGCATACATTCCTTGCTCCAAAATTAAAAGAAAGAGATGTGATCAAACTTATTTTTTTTATTAATTTGTGTTATTCTTTTCAATGTTTATTCGTATCGAAATCACTGCGATGATCAAGTTTCCATATTTATTGTCTTTGTAGATAACAACTTTCATCCTTGATTTATATTTAAAAGATGGAATCTCGAATAATTTATTTGTTTACATACTCACAACTAAGATAGACATAATTCATTTTATATGTAATTAAATTTTTGTTCATAATTCGAATATTGCACGTAATCCGATTAATGAGAGATTAACGAGTTTACGAACAACTTCTCTAACGGATCATATATAGCATATATACATAATTCTCTATTGCGATATTTATTTAAACAAAAATATTAAAAATATTAAAAATATCGCAATTCTCGCGAATGTGCTACAATAGAGAGGGCCAAGATAAAGCAAGATTAATGTCTCGCGTGATTTGGAAGCAGCAGGAAATGCTGTGTGTTCAGATACGCAGAACACATTGCGTTCAAACAGCTCACCGTTCCGGGAGTTTCCGGCGATGGAGTAGTCTCCGTGGGCCACTTTGTAGTTGTACAAAAGCGCCTGCCTTGTCCGTTCGGGATCAATCGTCCGTGGCTGATGCGATCGCGCGGTTCGACTACTGCCCGTCCAAAGATTCTTGAAGCTCCTCGATATCGCGGTTCTGCAAGAACGGTACATGTACCATCCGTTGCATTCTCTGTCTAGAGAGCCATTAGAGCTTTTTCTTTTATCTTACGCTACCAATTAATTAGTATTTGAATACATTATAACCTGATTCTTAAAATAAAATTCAACAGGTCTCTTAACATCGTAAACTTAATTTATTCATGTTTTCCCAACAGAAAGATAGATTAAAGTGAAAAACAGCGAATAAAATATTTATAACTGTATGCTAAATATCTATTTCCAGTAATAACAGTTTGATTCTTGTTTGAAATTATTGATAATATATATAGCTGATAATAGAGATAATTGATGACAGATTTGCAGATTGATTAAAAATATATGAATGTAAATCAGATATTAAAAATCAGATATCAAAAATTTTAAATACATTCTACTCTTCCAAATTTTTTGTGCTGTATATATTCGTTCTAATCATACCTTGAAAACATAAAATTTGGTACTTACGAGGGATATTGCATATTATTTGGTCCTATACAGTCATTCGGATCAGTGAGTGCATCGCCCCAAACATATTTGAGACCCAGGCCGTTGCCCTCGCATTTCTTGGCATCATATGCACGCGTAAACGCCGTGATAATAAGTATCAGACCGAGATACCTGGACATCTAAAATCAAATAGAAAATATATTTTAGAAATTACGTTTAAAAATTTTGACATGTTTTAGAAATGGAACAGCCATACAAATAATTGAATGTGTTTCATGATGCGTTCTTTGACATATTTTATATATTTTGAAGAATTTTTGTATTGATCTCTATTTCAAAAATTTGAAGAAAATATCATCATTGATTCCAACTACGCATAGCTTATATACAAAATAAAAACTTATTGTATGTGTATCTAAACTTATGCTTGAAACATAATGTTTCAAAAAACAACGGTTAATTAATTTATTATCTTTTATTGCCGAATTGGATTACGCTTAAAGTGATAGCGTGGATATTCTATGTTAGATCTTATGCATAAGATATTCCAATATTTCACTTGCAGAACTGTAGACCGTAAACGTAACATAACAGCTGCATTAGATTAAGTGATAATTGTCGCCCCGCGAGCGAATTCTTTAAGGCGTTATCTTTTTGTTAATAAAGATTGATATCTCTGGCGATGTGAATTAATGCTTCGTCAGGATGCGTAGGCAGGATAAGCACGAAGAACGCACGAGCGAGCGAGCGAGGGAACGATCTTAGAACTCGAGTTCGCAAGAGGTCAAGAGCAAGTAAATGACACACGCAGGTGTGATCATACTTTACAGCCTGGAAGAAAATTCCGCAATGGCTTCCTGAATTCAAACAGTTTCATGGAGCAGTGAGTCACTGCTTTAGAGAGATATTCTTCAAAGAGAATTTTAGAAAAAATATATATAATCAATATAAATATTCTTGTACAAAAAATTATTTATACTTCTTACATGATGAGATATCGATATCAATAAGTATAACTGATAAAGTCGAGCGAGAAGAAGGATGCAAAGTTTTATTTCAGATAATTTTCTAAAAGATGAAAAGAAATGTGATTAAAAAAATTCTTTTTCTAAATTAAGTTTTTACTTATTTGTCAATTTTTCTAAGACGTCATTTAAAAGCGATTACGAACTGATTAGCTCTGGTTTCTTCAAAGAGAGGATTCTACAAGATTCTATATATATATTCATGTGTGTGTATATACTCTCCGCAAAAAAAAAATCGCGTCGACCAGTATTCTTTTTCCTTTCGCGGCGCTTGGTATGTGAAAATCGCGATGTTTGCGAAGGAGTAAAAGAGAGAGAGAGAAAAAGAAAGATAAAAGGAAAGATAGAGAAAGAGAGTAAACAACGAGATAAGAAAAAAAAAAAAAAAAAAAAAAACTACGATTCTATGGAGAAGCGGATACAGTTGATTCCCGTTTGCACTCAATCATATATTTTCAGTTATCGAGATACATATATCGCTCTAATTAATCCTGTTTACGGTACGAGCACCGTACGCGTAACGAGACGAGTAATTTGATGTAACGGATGATCGTCGGTTCGCCGGGAAATCACCGGTTCTTGCGGGGGCTCGCCATCATTTCCCTCTCGGAATCCGCATCGAAAGGATTTCCGTTTCGCAGGTGAAGTTCATTGTGAAAAAAAAATCGCGTCGACCAGTATTCTTTTTCCTTTCGCGGCGCTTGGTATGTGAAAATCGCGATGTTTGCGAAGGAGTAAAAGAGAGAGAGAGAAAAAGAAAGATAAAAGGAAAGATAGAGAAAGAGAGTAAACAACGAGATAAGAAAACGCGAATTAACAATAATAATTAATCCCGATCGCATAATCGATGCACAACTCTCTACATGCGGTACGGGGTTTCTAGGTTGCTGAAACCACGTGTAAATCCGTTAGACGCGCTTATGTGTTCGCTATTACGATAAGTGAAAGCGATCGGAAAGAAGATCGTCGATCGCGCATTTTGATTGCGATTTTCATACGTATAGCGGTGCCCGCGTTACCGGCGCGGAATAATAAGAGGATTGCTTTTCAACGTTGATGCGAGTCTTCGTCTGGCAATTAACCCTGACATGATTAAGAAGCACTAGCCATCAATACTATAGATCCGCTCTTCTTTAGAGAGAAGAATTTAGAAATCTTAAAAAAAAGTCGTAATGACGTTCGAGCTATATTTTAAAATATCATGGTGTAAGTAGTTCTATTAAAAAGAAAAAAAGTCTGATAAAATTTTTATGATTTTTAGATTGATTAGTCTTTCTCCCTTGACTTGAAAATATTTTAATTTTTAATCCGAATCTCTCTCTAAGCAATATTTCATAATGACTTTTGTTTGAAAAAAATATTTAAATCAAAGAACTTTAAACTTTTCTATTTCTATTCGTCTTTCAAAAACGGTAAAATTTATTGCGATTCTAAAACTTGGTTTTCCTTCTTTCTAGATTACTTATTGTTAATAAATCCCATGTAGCGAAAGAACTGTATACTTTTGTGTGCTATTGATCCATATAAAATATATTTTATATAAAAGTTATCTAGAATGATCAGATTTTCGCATTACGATACTATCGAATTGTTATAATTAAACATGCATAAATCAATAAAAATTTCGGAAACAATTATTGCCTCTCACATAGAAAGAATAATTTGATTGACATTTGACGGACGCACTTTAATAACAAGTCACAAAGAGAGAGAGCAAGGAAATCATTAGCGGATACCGTCCAAGGTTGGTCAATGGCCGTGACCGTCGAGAGTGCACTCATGCATTCGACATACCTGTTACCTCGACAAATCCTTGATCCTCAGCATTGATTCTCCTCAATCTCTCTCCTCGATCACGTATATCCGCGTAATCGTAATATGGCTTACAAACTACTCGGATTGAGTTCCATTAACGATATCGAGAGAAAATTGGTACGCGGAGATCGATGGACCGTTACGGCCGCGTGCTCGAAAAAGTGCTTAATAATAAAAGATGTATATGTTGATGCGATGTTAAATCGAAAGAAGGACAATAATTGCCGGTACAGTTACGTGAATGAATTCGCACAACAATCGACGGATGATTACTCTCTCTCGTTATACGGGCTAAAACTCTCCCAGATCCGCGTGCGATCCTGATTACTCTTTCCGCTCCATCGCTTGCTTTTGACATTATCCCCATCCTGAGAGCGAAATAACAACCGAGCCGTGTTTCTTTTTGCGGACGCGAAAAAGGCGCTCGATCAGCGCTCGATTAATGTTACGATTAATCAAAGTCCCGCCGGCGCTTCCCGTAGCGCGGCTTTATTTTGCGGGTCGGGAAAGGGTCGATCGCAGAAAGAAGAAGAGAGAGCAAATAGACAGACAGACAGACAGAGAGAAAGAGAGAGAGCTAATTCGATCTCGCAACCGTGTCAATCCCATGTAGCGAAAGAACTGTATACTTTTGTGTGCTATTGATCCATATAAAATATATTTTATATAAAAGTTATCTAGAATGATCAGATTTTCGCATTACGATACTATCGAATTGTTATAATTAAACATGCATAAATCAATAAAAATTTCGGAAACAATTATTGCCTCTCACATAGAAAGAATAATTTGATTGACATTTGACGGACGCACTTTAATAACAAGTCACAAAGAGAGAGAGCAAGGAAATCATTAGCGGATACCGTCCAAGGTTGGTCAATGGCCGTGACCGTCGAGAGTGCACTCATGCATTCGACATACCTGTTACCTCGACAAATCCTTGATCCTCAGCATTGATTCTCCTCAATCTCTCTCCTCGATCACGTATATCCGCGTAATCGTAATATGGCTTACAAACTACTCGGATTGAGTTCCATTAACGATATCGAGAGAAAATTGGTACGCGGAGATCGATGGACCGTTACGGCCGCGTGCTCGAAAAAGTGCTTAATAATAAAAGATGTATATGTTGATGCGATGTTAAATCGAAAGAAGGACAATAATTGCCGGTACAGTTACGTGAATGAATTCGCACAACAATCGACGGATGATTACTCTCTCTCGTTATACGGGCTAAAACTCTCCCAGATCCGCGTGCGATCCTGATTACTCTTTCCGCTCCATCGCTTGCTTTTGACATTATCCCCATCCTGAGAGCGAAATAACAACCGAGCCGTGTTTCTTTTTGCGGACGCGAAAAAGGCGCTCGATCAGCGCTCGATTAATGTTACGATTAATCAAAGTCCCGCCGGCGCTTCCCGTAGCGCGGCTTTATTTTGCGGGTCGGGAAAGGGTCGATCGCAGAAAGAAGAAGAGAGAGAAAATAGACAGACAGACAGAGAGAAAGAGAGAGAGCTAATTCGATCTCGCAACCGTGTCTTCCGTTCCGATACGTCCCGCTGTATAACGTTACTTACTCCACCGTTGCGACCTTGCGGTTAATTAAAAGCGTTCTCACGCCGGCCAACGCGTTCTTGGATCCGCGATGCGGATCGGTCGAACGCGCCGGGTCTTTTTACGGTCTCTCGCTTCGCCCTGGATTTTCGCACGAGAATCACGGTGAGACGCGTCGCGCATACGCGATTCCTGTATATATTTCGAATTTACGATACTCTGGCTGATCGAGATTCCGAGAGAATACGAATCCGTGGTTAATGAGAGAAAAAAAATTCAGTCTTATAATCGTGAGTCGGGATGTGTCGATAAATTGACAAATAATTAGGCAATACTATTGCAAAATCTCACATTCTTTAACATAGTTATAGTTCTTAGAATATCCAATAACTGAAACTCTTTTATATACACACATATTTTCTTCCACGATATTAATTAATAATAAATTTTTTATACCAACACATTAATTCAGACATATTCACAGCCATACAATTTTTACATTTTCATATTCGAGAGAATTTATCAAAGCAAAATTAATTAAGACAATACCAACAATTGTGCATATTTATCGAGTTTTTGAATTGAATAATGTCCAACTTAATAAAAAAAAAAAAAAAACTTTATCTCGGAAGATCTCTGTCAGCTCCGCGCTGGCGGCGATTTCGGATGGGGACGCTGCGTTTATTTCAAACAAAGATTTCTCACGTCCTTTTGTAATCCTCTTTCGGCTGGACATAAAAATGTATTATTACCGATCAAATTAAAGCTGTCCTCTGTTCCTCTTCTCATCCTTTACGACACACGGCTTATCGTTGTAGAATCTATTCTTTCGAAAATGTATTTTATAAACAGATTATATATATCTTTTTGTTCTATATATGACATTATTTCTCGTTTCAGTAGAAATCGAAAATGTATAAAATATTTTCTTTCTCGCGTCTATCTACGTTGCAAATATGAAATAATTTTGACAATCATTGAAGTGAAATAAAGTAGAATATTTGAAGTTTGAAATTTAGTTTTCCTTTATCTTTTGTACGATTTTGTCAGAAAAGATTTGATATATATAGTTCTTTACGGCAATTTTTCGGATCGTTTCTCTTCTTTAGAGCAGTACATAATAAATATAATTATAATTAACAAAATATATTTCCGAAATCCTAAACAAAATTTATCACAATTAGTCGGTATTATTAATTCACTAATAAAATATTTTATATCTATCTTTGAATCTATTTTTTTATCAATTTCTAATAATTCGATTTATATTTATTTTATACCTATTTTCTCTGTGATTAATGAAAAGTTTAAGGAATAAATTCACACTTTCATCTGCTTCGAGAAACAGATGGTATCTATGGTCCACACGCGTCAAGAAATCTAACGGTAACGTTGAATCGTCCAAAACGTCGTTTCTTCTCGTATGTAAGTCGGATTTTATCGAGGGTACTTGGGTTTACTTATCCTCTTACTCGATAACGGTATACGTGTTTCGGTGATTCATTTTGTGAATAAATTATTATAACTGTCGTATTGCGCGTGAGACTGAAATTCTTTCTCGGTTTTGCGGCTGATGTTATGTCAAATGAGCAATCGCATATTTACTTGTTTCACTTTATAGAAATATTTTAAAAAGCAAGTAAAAAAATTAATTACATCAGATGCAATGCATTTTTGACGTTAAACCATGCTTTCAAAAATTAACATTAGAAAAATTCGTATCTAAAAATTTAAAGAATGTAGACTTGATTTAATCTAATAAGTCAACATTTTTATCAAGTACCAATGAAATACAGAACAAAATATACGTAATTCAGCTTCGTTTCGCAATTTTTCTTATCGATTGTTGATTATGTTGATGGTCCAAAGAATTTTCGACCAATATTCTTCAAAGAAGCGAGAATGAATTGTAATTTCAAATACCTCAAGAACAATTCGCAACCTGCAGCTGCATAGCTAAACGTCACGCATTTTATTTTTATGTCTTGGGATAATAAACTTTCAAGCACCCGGCCTCAGACAGCGCACTTTAACATCGCTTGTCTTGAAGCGTTTTAACTTGTCTACCTGTGCCCGCGTAGACTTTTCTATCGCGAGGGATGTTTGTGACCGCCGATCTTTACGCATGGAAGCATGGTCGTTTTTCTTTGTGGCAAATTCGAGACAAGCAAAATTGATAAGTTTCACAAGAATAGGCGCCGGTAATGTTCGAGTTACAATTTTGAAGAAACATTTATTTGCTTTTACTCACCGTGAGGAACATTTGTTTCAAGTTGCGTTACAAGTCCTTTCTCGGCCCGTCCTCGGTGACCTCCACGTTACATTAAAATCAACCGGAACGTCCTCGCGAGAGATATCGGGTAAATATAAAAAAATATCGAAAAGAGAAATATGAAAATTGGAGCACACGAGTCTCTCGTTCTTTCTCTCTCTCTCTCTCAAACACCGTTCATGTCACTGCACCGGATGTCGAGTGAGGTCGAGCACCTCCGTCCTCGCAGGTGGATGTCCAGAGGTTGACTGTAGAATCGTAAGTAACCGCTCTCTGTGCTTGGGCAGCGAGCCGGGGCGAAAGAGGGGATCTCTCTTTCTCTCTGACTGGGGATACTGGCCCCTATTCTTCCTCTAAACCTTTTTCCGCCTGCTGATGAAGAAAGATGATCCGGTGTGAAAGAGGGTAGCCCCCGCTGCGGCTCCTTTTTTCAGGCAGGTCGTGCAAATCAGACAACGTAGAATAGCCAAAGTTACTTTTGTAGTAATAGAAGAACTGAGAGAAAACTGTGAGTCATTTAAAAAAAATGATCCAGTTTTTACTTAAAGAAAGAAGTAATCAATTTCCAATTAACGAGAAATTCGTTGATTGATATTATATATGAATATTTCATTATGAATATTGATTAATATTTAAAATAATATGAACTTTAATGGACAAATATTTGGCGCTCAGCATGACAAAAAAAATTCTGATTTGATAAAATTTTGCAATATAAAAAAAGATAAAAGAAACTCAAGTTTTCTCGAATAGTTTCACACACAGAATCCCTTTATATCGGAAAAGAAATCGCAGAGTTAGAGAGGAAGAGAAAGAGGAAAACCTTTTTATAAAGATTGATTGGATATATCTAAGCATTTCTAAAATCAATTTTAAAAATTGTGATAAAGTACGTAATTTTTTAATTCCGTGTAAAGCATGATAGGATCCACATATTCCTTTGATATTTTTATCATTACTATATTAATATATCTAGTATTATGCTATATAGTATGAATACAATATGAAGACTATTCAGTATATTCATAATCGAAATATATTTTTTTTATATATGTTGCTCTTATACAGAAACGATACATGAGGTGTTCCTCTTTTCTTAAAATTATCTTAATTCTTTATATAACTAGCACTAAAATCATGGTACAGTATTTTATTGTCTAAAGAATTTACTTTTTAAAATATTATTAACAACTAATAAATTGAATAACAATATTGAAATTTACTGATATCTTTGTGTATCGTAAAATCACAGACTACATCTTATGTTCATAGCATAAATTGTACCTTGAGCTAAATCTCAAAGAACAGACAAATGGACACCAAGTAGATCTATAGTCTGCGTTTTAATAGTCAATAAATGTTCTATTTTTTCAGATGAAGAAAAAACGGATAAGTAGTACTGAGTAATATTTATGCTTTGATTCATTATTGTGTAGAAAATGAACATTAAAATCCGTAAAAATCTATTGCCACCGAATATTTAGTCACTTTAGAAAGAATGTATATATATATATGCATAGTATTTATTTTAGCATACATTAAAAAATATTCTCGCGATATTGTTAATTTTATGCGAATTAGCTTTTTGTCATTGAAGTCGAGCTTTTAAATGATATAGTACACGAAAGTATTTTACGAATATTAGAAATCGTGAGAATATTGAATATGCAACATTGTTAAATATATACTGCACAGTAATAAAATACAACGTGATCGATCACGGTTTTTCCGAAACCAAAATTCGGTTGAATACGTAACAATAAGAACTAAAGACCGCTGTATACAAAATTATCTGAATGCAAGAATATATAACAAACTCCTGAACTGATGAAATACTTACAATACATATTTTAGTAAATATTATGTCAATTTGAGTTTCATCAGTTTAATGTGAATTTATTTATATATTGTGCATATGGTTTTAGGGCAATATGTAGTATAGCATTTTGTGTGTACACCTCTCTATATATATATACATAATATATATATATA